AGTCTCACAACTTCCTGCAAGATTATAATCCAGCCATGTGATTCCACAAGCTTCACATGGGCATAAAATCTTAAAGAATGTGAAATAATTTGGTATAGCCTGAACAGGGTTTTGAGCCAAGTTTTTACCATTGAATGATGCAAAAAGCCTCACAACTTCCTGCAAGATTATAATCCAGCCATGTGATTTCACAAGCATCACATGGGCACAAAATCTTAAAGACTGTGAAATCATCAGTGGTGGGAAGTAACGAAGTACAAGTACTTCGTTACTGTCCTTAAGTACAATTTCTGTGTATCTGTACTTTACTTAAGTAGATTTAATAATGGATACTTTCTACTTTTACTCCACTACATTTAACAGTAAGTATCTGTACTTTCTACTTCACTACATTTCTATACAGCGTTTCGTTACTCGTTACATCCAAGACGCATTTCGGTTTTTTGATTTGTTCGTTAGTTTGAAAGTATCCAATGGCGAGAGCAGAATCAGTCCGCTGAACCAATCCAAAGCGGGAAATAACCATTAGGCCCTCCCTCAAGAAGAGCAGCACAGTACCAGGACCCGCATAAAATATCTAAATCTAAACTGTCACAGGGGGTAGACACAATAAAAAAAGGCTTTATCTGCAGCATTGCTCATTAAAATGGTACATTACTGATTTATTAAAACTAAATACGATAGGTACACTTAATGACATTATATAAGCCGTTAGGTATTATGGCTGGCAAGTACTTTTACTTTTAATACTTAAGTAGTTTTAAAAGCTTGTACTTTCTTACTTTTACTTAAGTAAAATAATAATGTGGTACTTTGACTTTTACTTGAGTAAATTTTCGTCTGTGTATTTGTACTTTTACTTAAGTACATTGTATGAGTACTTTCTCCACCACTGGAAATCATTTAGTATTTTGTGCTACAGTATACAGTTTTGTTTAGTTTTTTGGGGTTTGAGGACCAACAACGTACCGGTCTTCCCGTTGTTGTGAATGGTGGATCCTGATGTGGGTTTGTTCCACCCCTCCAGCCGCAAATCCTGGAACTGCAGCCGGACTTGGGTGAAGGTTTCGTCGATGTCCACGGGAGACTGCCTGGCTCCGTCACAGGACGGGTACTTCTTACCCCAGCTCTGCTGGTTCAGGCTACCTGTGTATAAAGAGAGAGCGATC